ACAAAAAAGAAAGTAAGCAATTACATTGTAATCAAATGTAATCAATTTGATTACAATGAGGAAATAGGTGATATATTTGATAATAATCTCTTATTAATTTGACATAATCAGTTATTTATTTTTTTTATAAGTAATAATATTCGCAGAAGGTGCAATTCGACCTTTCTACTTTACTTGTTGTGACATGTCAGCCCTTGTACTTAAAAATAGTGCAAATCAACCCTTCTACTAATTAAAACATGCATATCAGCCCTTCTGTCAAGGATGACTTCATCTTTTCATTGCCCATCTATTGCCTCATTAACATGGGATGATGTGGTGATGCCTTTGTGATGACTTGGAGAAAAAAGAACTACCTCACATTTTTCATTTCCTTTCCCTCCACAAATGTGGCCTTTAAAGGTGATTAAATCCCAAATCCTTCACAGGACAAAAGAAAAAAAATTCCTAATCCTTATAATCCAAATAAACAAAGAAACTTATCCTTCTTCCCTACTAAGTTTGTAACCAAAGAATGGTTATTCTTCATTTGCTCTTACATTTTTGGCAAAAGGGCATGTAGGATCCTTGTCAACCTTGAGAAGTTGTAGAAAGAATTATTCTAGAATGAAACCATGGTGCTTGATCTCTCCCTCTCCTGCCTATAGCCGTGGGAGGATGAGTTTGAGTTTGTCGATAAGATCCCTCCATCATTTCACGAAATGGTACACTTCCCCTGCTCGTTATGCATGTTGATTATCTGGTGATCGAAAAAATCTTGTTGAGAAATGTGTGATCTTATGCTGAATCTGCAGCTTCCTTGTATCTTTGATGAAAATTTATTTGGAGTTTTTAATTTGTTGCTAGAATGCTTGTTCTTACTAGTAATATGCTCTCTTTTCACTGGAGAAAATTTTATCGTTAAGCAAGTAGAGCCAGGTGAATGAAATCCCAAGTTTTTACCTGTAGTTCTACAAAAGATCCTATGATAAGTGCTTATTGATGTTTAGGTAGGGAACCAAGGTGGTTTATACTTTGCTGTATGAATGGGATAGAAAATATTATATATTTAGTGAGAATAATAATACATATACTCTATAAATTTATACATTCAATTACATACTGGTAGAAATTGTCAATATGTAACACAAACCATTAGTTTTAATGATATAAATAATGAAAATTATTAGTTTTAACAATACAA